ACTGGTTCCCTGTCAGACCAGACCCTGCTAATATGGAAACCTTGCTTTCTGGACTGTTACATTTGTATATATAATGAGTGAGTGAGTGAGTTTGGTTTTACGCCGCTTTTAGCAATTATTCCCGCAATATCATGGCGGGGGACACCAGAAATGGGCTTCACACATTGTACCCATGTCGGGAATCAAACCTGGGTTTCGGCGTGACAAGCGAACGCTTTAACCACTAGGCTACCCGACCGCCCCTTGTATATATAAGAAGATATGATAACCATAGGGTGAATGCTGAGTAAGGGTATGTGAGTTTTATGTGTATGCCAACGTCATTGCTCTGTCACTATGTATTGATAATCTGATAATGAACATTTCCTGGATGATTTCACTTTGAATGGTACTGTCTGGTTTAATGGGGTTTTACTGGGAATGGTACTGTCTGGAATAATGGGGTTTCACCTGGAGTGGTATTGGCTGGATTAGTGAGGTTTCACTGGGAGTGGTACTGTCTGGAATAATGGGGTTTCACCTGGTGTGGTATTGGCTGGATTAGTGAGGTTTCACTGGGAGGAGTACTGTCTGGATTAATGGGGTTTCACTAGGAGTGGTATTGTCTGGAATAATGGGGTTTCACATGGAGTGGTATTGTCCGGATTAGTGAGGTTTCACTGGGAGTAGTACTCTCTGGATAAGTAAGGTTTCACTGGGAGTGGTACTGTCTGGATTAGTGATGTTTCCCTGGGAGAAGTACTGTCTAGATTAATGGGGTTTCATGGGGAGTGGTACTGTCTGGATTAGTGATGTTTCCCTGGGAGAAGTACTGTCTGGATTAATGGGGTTTCACAGGGAGTGGTACTGCCTGGATTAGTGATGTTTCCCTGGGAGAAGTACTGTCTGGATTAATGGGGTTTCACGGGGAGTGGTACTGTCTGGATTAGTGATGTTTCACTGGGAGTAATACTGTCTGGATTAGTGAGGTTTCACTGGGAGTGGTACTTTCTGGATTAATGGCATTTTACTGGGAGTGGTACTGTCTGGATTAATGGGGTTTCACTTGGAGTGGTACTGTCTGGATTAATGGGGTTTCACGGAGAGCGGTACTGTCTGGATTAATTGGGTTTCCCTGGGAGTGGTACTGTCTGGATTAATGGCGTTTTACTGGGAGTGGTACTGTCTGGATTAATGGCGTTTTACTGGGAGTGGTACTGTCTGGATTAATGGGGTTTCACTTGGAGTGGACCTGTCTGGATTAATGGGGTTTCACGGAGAGCGGTACTGTCTGGATTAATTGGGTTTCACTGGGAGCGGTACTGTCTGGATTAATGGGGTTTCACTGGGAGTAGTACTGTCTTGATTAATTGGGTTTCACTGGGAGTGGTACTGTCTGGATTAATGGGGTTTCACTGGGAGTGGTACTGTCTGGATTAATGGGGTTTCACTGGGAGTAGTACTGTCTTGATTAATGGGGTTTCACTGGGAGTGGTACTGTCTGTATTAATAGCGTTTTACTGGGAGTGGTACTGTCGGGATTAATGGCGTTTTACTGGGAGTGGTACTGTCTGGATTAATGGGGTTTCACTTGGAGTGGACCTGTCTGGATTAATGGGGTTTCACGGAGAGCGGTACTGTCTGGATTAATTGGGTTTCACTGGGAGCGGTACTGTCTGGATTAATGGGGTTTCACTGGGAGTAGTACTGTCTTGATTAATTGGGTTTCACTGGGAGTGGTACTGTCTGGATTAATGGGGTTTCACTGGGAGTGGTACTGTCTGGATTAATGGGGTTTCACTGGGAGTAGTACTGTCTTGATTAATGGGGTTTCACTGGGAGTGGTACTGTCTGTATTAATAGCGTTTTACTGGGAGTGGTACTGTCTGGATTAATGGCATTTTACTGGGAGTGGTACTGTCTGGATTAATGGGGTTTCACTTGGAGTGGTTCTGCCTGGAATAATGGGGTTTCACTGGAAGTGGTACTGCCTGGATTAATGGGGTTTCACTGGGAGTGGTACTGTCTGGATTAATGGCGTTTTACTGGGAGTAGTACTGTCTGGAATAATTGGTTTTCACTTGGAGTGGTACTGTCTGGATTAATGGGGTTTCACTGGGAGTGGTACTGTCTGGATTAATGGGGTTTCACTGGGAGTGGTTCTGCCTGGAATAATGGGGTTTCCCTGGGAGTGGTACTGTCTGGAATAATGAGGTTTCACCTGGAATTGTACTGTCTGGATTAGTGAGGTTTCACTGGGAGTAGTACTGTCTGGATTAATGGGGTTTGACTAGTTGTGGTACTGTGTGAATTAATGGGGTTTCACAAGGAGGTGGTACTGTTTGGATTAAAGAGGTTTCACTGTTGATCGGAACAAAAATACCGCTGATAATCTCACTATGACTTTATGCAATAATAGACGTAACACATATACCAGTCTGTCCACACGTATCTCACACACGGTGTGTTTACGAGTCTGTGTCACACTAAATAGATGCCTGGAGAGGAATGTACGGGTCATATGGGACATGCAGTATCATCAACCTGGAACTATGTAGAGAACTGGGATTTATTGCATATTTACACCAGTTTGTGCAACATCTGTAACGGTAATGGCTGCTACTTCCAGAGTTATTTGCAGTTGTGACATTGTTGCATGAAATTAGATACTGATACTAAGCCGAACACGAGAGAATGAACATGTTCTGCAATGCAACTCCAACCTTCAAAATGCATGCTATTCCGTCAGTCTGGGACAACTAAATTATGCTTGGGGACAAGTAAAATTTGAATTATGGTAGTCCCCATTGACTACTAGCATTTCTTGGCTACGACTGTGAGGATAATACTTCATTTTGGCTACTAATTGAAACTGATTAAAACTGACAGAAATGGTAAATAGTAATCATTTTTGTCTTGTTCAAGCAGGACTAGCTACAAGCACGGAGGACAAGTGGAATAAGCTTTACACTAGTCCTTTGGACTAGTCTTAAGAAGGAATGTCTAAGGCTAAACCTGTGTGGAACATATTGCATGTATACATACTGTGTGAGCGAGTTTCACGTCAAGGACTGTAACAGTTAACTACAGCTGTGGTATATTGCCTCTGTGAAAACAAGGTTCTTTCATGAAGTTAGACAAACCATTCCTGACACTCGTGAAGATCCGGGGTAGAATAGGTCTTCAGCCACCCATGCTTGCCTTAAAAAGCGACTATGCTATGCTGTACCTGTGTGGAACATATTGCATGTATACATACTGTGTGAGCGGGTTTCACGTCAAGGACTGTAACAGTTAACTACAGCTGTGGTATATTGCCTCTGTGAAAACAAGGTTCTTACATGAAGTTTGTTTTTGTTTGGATTAGACAAACCATTCCTGACACTCGTGAAGACCTGGGTTAAAATGGGTCTTCAGCAACCAATGCTTGACGTAAAAGGCGACTATGTGCGTCGTAAGAGGCGACTAACAGGATCAGGTGGTCAGGCTCGCTGACTTGGTTGATGCATGTCATCGTATCCCAATTGCATAGATTGATGCTCATGATGTCAATCACTGGACTGTCTGGTCCAGACTCGATTATTTACACACCGCCGTCATATAGCTGGAATATTGCTGAGTGTGGCGTTAATCAACAAACAAACAAACAAACCATGACAGAACTGAAATACTTGAGAAGTCATTGGGAACTTTAGGATTGATACATCGACTCATGGATATCACAATATATTGATTAATAATATGATTAATTATTCTGTATGTGTATAGATGAAGATTGAATTTTCTGCTTCTGCTTCAATCTTATAAATGTAAACATTTCTGGGGTAGTGAATTATTCATTTAACATTGATATTCATAAATTTGTATCGATACTAAGGTTTTACATGATGAGGAAATGCTTGTCAAGTGTGCACAAATGTATAGAATGGATGCTTAGAACAAAACTAATACGTCTGGAGGGAGACACAATAATATTCATTGTACTAAATTCTTGACAAGAAATGTAATGTTCCTGTAATTAATGTAATTATCTTACATTACACTACACAACACCATTTAATCATTTTACAGGACCTGCATATTTCCTGTAAGAACTCTTGAATTAACTACCCATTATTAGAGACCCCCTGTAGCCCCTGTTTTAAAAGTCAAGATAAGACCAACGGTACTGTATCAACTAGGGCTGGCAAAAATGATTGATGATCAGAATTATCATCAATGGAAAGAAATATTAATGATTATCAATATGAAAATTGTGTCATCGATAATATCTTATGAAATAAAGTTTAGATTGACCAAAACAGACTTTTTTTTGTCAAAAATGTCAATTGCTGAAGATGGAAAGTAACTCAAATGTCCACAAAGTAACCCCTGCTTGAATGTGCCACCACACACTAGTGGAGTGAAATATGTCGTTTTCTTTTGGAGTTTTTTTTTGCTCAAAGTTACTTTTTTTTAAATTGATCGATAATTGATCGATATTTAGTTAACGATTATCAATCTCTATGATCTGTATGGATGTCCAGCCCTGGTATCAACATTAAAATTTAAAAAAATTATTGATACATCGATATCACAATATCGATAACATCCCTGTGAATAAATGTTTAAAGCATAACTGTTATCCACTGATATTGACCAAGTTTGCTATGTGTGAGTCACTGAAAGGATGTGTGTGTGTAATTTGTGGCCATTACTCCCTGACTGGAGACCTAATCCTGACTTCATCACCATGTCTGTGTAGCATTGAACAGTGCAGGTCATGGTGACCCAAGTACAAGTTGACACAGTTAGAGGCATGTTTCCATTAAACGTTTGGTCATAAATCAAGTCAACAAATTGTTTTCCATGTATGAGCTAACAGGGGCAGAGCATCTTGCATTGGTGTTCTCCAAAATCAATATCTGTGTTCCTCCACGCTAAGGTTTGGGTACGTCTGTCTACACTGGTCTATCGTCAGACTGTCTACTGCATCCAGCACATCTTGTCTGCTGTAGCAGGAAAGAACTTGTGATTTGACAGTTTACTTCCATTTTGTTGGAGATAACGTTTCTGCATCATCCATGCTAAGATTTGTCATGGTGATTTGAAGATTTCTTTTATGTCATGGTGCCCAAAGCTGGTGGATATGAAGATATATTTTCCCCTCTCTCGACAACTGTGTGCAACATCATGTGGACGGTGTGCAATGTGGTGTTAATATGTGCAACAGTGTATTTGTTGATCGCTGCACTGCTCTGGTACTGAGATCAATTTTCTTAAAATACACTCTTTTTCACTGTGGATTAATAATTCTATATGACCATAAAACCAAGCTCCTATTTGACCGCTCACCCTTGTTCAACATGTGCCATAAACTGGATATTTATGTCCCAGAGGTTAGTGATTCATTCCGTCTGCATAATACATTAGAGCCAGCATGTAATCAAATAATGTGTTTGTGACTTGTAAACATTATGTTAAGCTAGCCAGTGGTTAATATCTTTACAAGGAATTATGTAATATTTAGACTTCCTGGAAGTTATTTAATAATAAATGGTTTTACCTTTGACATCGTCCTTCAACCTCAAGCCCGACTGGAATCAGTGAACACTCCAGAGACAAATGGTATTTGTTAAATTCTGCAAGTTTTTCCCTGTGTTGTGGCATGCTGCAAGTCTGGCTGATGACTCCTAACAGCAGTGTGTGTTAATATTCAATAGCTCTGCCTCCAGAGGGCAGCGCGATAATGGAAAGGAGTGTAACGGAATTGGCCAACATTGGACAAATAGTCTGACTCAGCAGCAGCAATGGATATACGCTATATAAGAAGTTGGTCGCCAGGTTGTGTGGAGACGATTCCGTACGATGGTGGTCAGTGAGGAAGCAGTGAATATTCTATTTAAGTCGTGATTAGGAGGAGATAGCGCCTGGCATTATGGAGGGGTGTCTGAGACCTTTGTGTTCGGTTATTGGATGTACCAAACGTGGCGCCAGTTCCACTCCCGATTGTACAGACAATTCAGTTGAGGATAAGAGGTAGGTTATATGATGGGAATATCTCAATATTCCTTTTATGGGATCAAAATTCTGCCTCTTAAACTAATGGTGACATGTTTTCCTTGTTATATCCTTGGATAATGTGTCCCTGAACCCTAATGATATTGATTGATGTTCACGCTATCAACCGCTGGCTGCACTGGGTTGAGCAACCCATGCTTGTCTTAAGAAGCGACTAAGCTTGTCGTAGAAAACGACTAGCAGGATCGGGAGGCCATGCTTGCTAACTTGGTTGATGCATGTCATAGTATCCCAGTTGAGCAGCTCGATGCTCATGAAGTCAATTACTGGACTGTCTGGTCCAGATTTCATTATTTTCAGACTGACGTCATTATGTTGGAATATTGCAGAGTACAGCATTAAACAACAACAAAAAACAACAACATTTAATGGAAAGACAGAATATTCAGTTAGCATGTTATTGACACACACTTATGTTAATGTATCAAATACATGCTCAGGCACATTGGCACAACTTTGTGTGCCATTGAATATACCATTGAAATGTTAACTAATTCTCAGGACAGAACAAGATGTCTTAATGATTATGACGTTGATACTTCTTAGTTATAAGGATAATAGTGTGTTCAGTAATATTTGTACAGTAAACTACATTTATAACGAACACACTTATAACGAAATGACGAATATTACGAACTGCTTTTTGGTCCTGTCCATTTGCTGTGTATATGCTGTATATATGCTTATTATGAACTACGGTTATAAGGAACTAGAATCAGTGGGTAATATTGTGTTCTGTGAGATCAGTAGTAAGAAGGGTAATATTGTGTTCTGTGAGATCAGTAGTAAGAAGGGTAATATTGTGTTCAGTGAGATCTGTAGTTAGAGGGGTAATATTGTGTTCAGTGTGAACTGTAGTTAGAAGGGTAATATTTTGTTCAGTGAGATCTTTAGTTAGAAGGGTAATATTGTGTTCAGTGAGATCAGTAGTAAGAAGGGTAATATTGTGTTCAGAGAGATCTGTAGTTAGAAGGGTAATATTGTGTTCAGTAAGATCTGTAGTAAGAAGGGTAATATTGTGTTCAGTGAGGTCTGTAGTTAGAGGGGTAATATTGTGTTCAGTGAGATCTGTAGTTAGAAGGGTAATATTGTGTTCAGTGAGATCTGTAGTTAGAGGGGTAATATTGTGTTCAGTGAGATCAGTAGTAAGAAGGGTAATATTGTGTTCAGTGAGATCAGTAGTAAGAAGGGTAATATTGTGTTCAGAGAGATCTGTAGTTAGAAGGGTAATATTGTGTTCATTGAGATCTGTAGTTAGAAGGGTAATATTGTATTCAGAGAGATCTGTAGTTAGAGGGGTAATATTGTGTTCAGTGAGATCTGTAGTTAGAAGGGTAATATTGTGTTCAGAGAGATCTGTAGTTAGAAGGGTAATATTGTGTTCAGAGAGATCTGTAGTTAGAGGGGTAATATTGTGTTCAGTGAGATCTGTAGTTAGAGGGGTATTATTGTGTTTAGTGAGACTTGTAGTTATAGGGGTAATATTGTGTTCAGAGAGATCTTTAGTTAGAAGGGTAATATTGTGTTCAGTGAGATCTGCAGTTAGAAGGGTAATATTGTGTTCAGAGAGATCTTTAGTTAGAAGGGTAATATTGTGTTTAGTAAGATCTGTAGTAAGAAGGGTAATATTGTGTTCAGTGAGGTCTGTAGTTAGAGGGGTAATATTGTGTTCAGTGAGATCTGTAGTTAGAAGGGTAATATTGTGTTCAGTGAGATCTGTAGTTAGAGGGGTAATATTGTGTTCAGTGAGATCAGTAGTAAGAAGGGTAATATTGTGTTCAGTGAGATCAGTAGTAAGAAGGGTAATATTGTGTTCAGAGAGATCTGTAGTTAGAAGGGTAATATTGTGTTCATTGAGATCTGTAGTTAGAAGGGTAATATTGTATTCAGAGAGATCTGTAGTTAGAGGGGTAATATTGTGTTCAGTGAGATCTGTAGTTAGAGGGTAATATTGTGTTCAGTGAGATCTGTAGTTAGAAGGGTAATATTGTGTTCAGTGAGATCTGTAGTTAGAAGGGTAATATTGTGTTCAGAGAGATCTGTAGTTAGAAGGGTAATATTGTGTTCAGAGAGATCTGTAGTTAGAGGGGTAATATTGTGTTCAGTGAGATCTGTAGTTAGAGGGGTATTATTGTGTTTAGTGAGACTTGTAGTTATAGGGGTAATATTGTGTTCAGAGAGATCTTTAGTTAGAAGGGTAATATTGTGTTCAGTGAGATCTGCAGTTAGAAGGGTAATATTGTGTTCAGTGAGATCTGTAGTTAGAAGGGTAATATTGTGTTCAGTGAGATCTGTAGTTAGAAGGGTAATATTGTGTTCAGTGAGATCTGTAGTTTGAAGGGTAATATTGTGTTCAGAGAGATCTGTAGTTAGAGGGGTAATATTGTGTTCAGTGACATCTGTAGTTAGATAGGTGATATTGTGTTCAGTGAGATCTGTAGTTAGAAGGGTAATATTGTGTTTAGTGAGATCTGCAGTTAGAGGGGTAATATTGTGTTCAGTGAGATCTGTAGTTAGAGGGTAATATTGTGTTCAGTGAGATCTGTAGTTAGAAGGGTAATATTGTGTTCATTGAGATCTGTAGTTAGAGGTGTACTATTGTGTTCAGAGAGATCTGTAGTTAGAGGGGTAATATTGTGTTTAGTGAGATCTGTAGTTAGAAGGGTAATATTGTGTTCAGTGAGATCTGTAGTTAGAGGGGTAATATTGTGTTTAGTGAGACTTGTAGTTAGAGGGGTAATATTGTGTTCAGTGAGATCTTTAGTTAGAAGGGTAATATTGTGTTCAGTGAGATCTGTAGTTAGAAGGGTAATATTGTGTTCAGAGAGATCTGTAGTAAGAAGGGTAATATTGTGTTCAGAGAGATCTGTAGTTAGAGGGGTAATATTGTGTTCAGTGGGATCTGTAGTTAGAGGGGTAATATTGTGTTTAGTGAGACTTGTAGTTAGAGGGGTAATATTGTGTTCAGAGAGATCTTTAGTTAGAAGGGTAATATTGTGTTCAGTGAGATCTGTAGTTAGAAGGGTAATATTGTGTTCAGTGAGATCTGTAGTTAGAAGGGTAATATTGTGTTCAGTGAGATATGTAGTTAGAAGGGTAATATTGTGTTCAGTGAGATCTGTAGTTAGAGGTGTACTATTGTGTTCAGAGAGATCTGTAGTTAGAGGGGTAATATTGTGTTCAGTGAGATCTGTAGTTAGAAGGGTAATATTGTGTTCAGTGAGATCTGTAGTTAGAAGGGTAATATTGTGTTCAGTGAGATCTGTAGTTAGAGGGGTAATATTGTGTTTAGTGAGATCTGTAGTTAGAGGGGTAATATTGTGTTCAGTGAGATCTGTAGTTAGAGGGGTAATATTGTGTTTAGTGAGACTTGTAGTTAGAGGGGTAATATTGTGTTTAGTGAGATCTGTAGTTAGAGGGGTATTATTGTGTTTAGTGAGACTTGTAGTTATAGGGGTAATATTGTGTTCAGAGAGATCTTTAGTTAGAAGGGTAATATTGTGTTCAGTGAGATCTGTAGTTAGAAGGGTAATATTGTGTTCAGTGAGATCTGTAGTTAGAAGGGTAATATTGTGTTCAGTGAGATATGTAGTTAGAAGGGTAATATTGTGTTCAGTGAGATCTGTAGTTTGAAGGGTAATATTGTGTTCAGAGAGATCTGTAGTTAGAGGGGTAATATTGTGTTCAGTGACATCTGTAGTTAGATAGGTGATATTGTGTTCAGTGAGATCTGTAGTTAGAAGGGTAATATTGTGTTCAGAGAGATCTGTAGTTAGAAGGGTAATATTGTGTTCAGTGAAATTTGTAGTTAGAGGGGTAATATTGTGTTTAGTGAGACTTGTAGTTAGAGGGGTAATATTGTGTTTAGTGAGATCTGTAGTTAGAAGGGTAATATTGTGTTCAGTGAGATATGTAGTAAGAAGGGTAATATTGTGTTTAGTGAGATCTGTAAATAGAAGGGTAATATTGTGTTCAGTGAGATCTGTAGTTAGAAGGGTAATATTGTGTTCAGTGAGATCTGTAGTTAGAAGGGTAATATTGTGTTCAGTGAGATCTGTAGTTAGAAGGGTAATATTGTGTTCAGTGAGATCTGTGGTCTTTTTCATGTTCCCACTCCCCACGTCTCAGTTATTTCTTTGTTTCCATGAACTCCTCTCAAACATATGGACAAATAATAACCAGGGGTTAAGGAGAAACGATATGCACTGTCCAGGTTAGGGTCTATTGTGTCAATAAATAGTTGTAGAACTAGTAGCATCTGTCACAACATGGGATAAGCAGGAAAATTATTTCAGCAGTTGGGAATGGACTATCAGAGACAGCATTAGGTGCTGACACTGTGGTAATGATACTAGACGTCCCACTGATGGGGGCTTGCAAATTGTTATTGTTCTACTCTGCTATTGTAGTGTTAAAGTTGTCCCAATCACCTGTTAGGAAAACAGTGTCTTGATTTGATGGAACAGCATGGAAGTGAGTTAGGAGGCTTGACATTGTTATGGTTTTGTCTTCTTGATGTTGGTTATGCAAGAGAATACAAGGCCAGAAGCACCATTCAGATACGGGTAAGACTAGTCTACAGCAACCCATGCTTGCTGAAACAGGTGACTATGCTTGTCGTAAGAGGCGACTAACGGGATCGGGTGGTCAGTCTTGCTGACTTGGTTGATGCATGTCATCCTATCCCAATTGCGTGGGTTGATGCTCATGCAATCACTGGATTGTCTGGTCCAGACCTGATTATTTACAGACCGCCGTCATATAGCTGGAATATTGCTGAGTGCGGCATTAAACAACAAACCAACAAGACAAAGCTATGATGAATTGTTCCACCCTGTTATGGTAGTGTTTATACTGTCCTAGTTTCCTGTTGAAAGACAACCACCTCCATGCTATCATGAATAGTCTGTGCTTCAATCCTTGACCCTGCATACCAAAGACGTAAAAAGATGGTACAT